GGCTCGAAGGGCTTTACAAACCAAACATACTTTGTTTTCACTCTTCCGGCTGTTTGGTTTTGACTGCGGTTTCTTTGGAGTCACTTCAGAGCAACAGAAAGCCCGTTATATGGAAGTTGAAGCCAGACAAATTCGGGGACAATTTTTAATGAACCACTGGAGCAATTTGGCAAGGGCGGGGGGGGGGGAGGAGAGGGGGATTCTCCATCCCTGGCCATTTTAAAATCAAGACTGGATGTTTTTCTAGTTCAATCAACGAATTCAGGGACTTCTTCTGGCCTATGTTCTGCTGGAGGGCGGACAAGATGATCACAATGGTCCTTTTGGCCTTAAACATCTATTAAGCTGAATCACTTTCTGCTGCACCTCTGGGGTGGAGTGCAACAGCTGTTTAACAGCCACACAGCAATACCGGACAACAGTTTAGGACAGGAAGTAAAGAAGAATAGCGCCACCAGCTGGAACCGCAGGGGCAGTTTAGTTAAGTGGAAGATAATGATCCACGCTGGAATTTGGCCAGGGCACGGGGGCTAACAATGTACCGGCTCCCATCCTGTGAACACTTCATCAATCATAAGACCATAAGAACGGCTATACTGGGTCAGACCAAAGGTCCATCTAGCCCAGTATTCTGTCTACCGACAGTGGCCAATGCCAGGTGCCCCAGAGGGAGTGAACCTAACAGGTAATGATCAAGTGATCTCTCTCCTGCTATCCATCTCCACCCTCTGACAAACAGAGGCTAGGGACACCATTCCTTACCCATCCTGGCTAATAGCCATTAATGGACTTAAACTCCATGAATTTATCTAGTTCTCTCTAGTCATAATAAGCCAAGGTTGGCATGATGTGGCTGAGAACTGAGATCTTGTCTGGAAGACGGGATACTAAATAAAACCCATCCCAATGCATTTTGTCTTTGTTCCTGTGTTTTCTTGACACTCCTCTTATAGACAAGAGGTAACACGTGGTCCCTTTATATTAAGTGCCGTTACATTTAAAGTGCTTCATGGCGGCCTGGCTCCTATTTTATCTTGCGTCTGCCAGCGCTGACTGGCTGTGCTAAACGTCCCTGGCCGAGCTCATTTATCTTCATGTCCAGAAAGCGAGAGAGAAATTACATGACGAGCAGACCAGAGGAATTGTTGCAGTGAACAGATCAATGGTCCCTCTAGTTCAGTTTCGTGTCTCCAGCTGTGGCCAATTCCTCAGACTTTATTATTACTAGATATTGGGTCTCGAGAAGCACCGAAAGGCCTGGGGCCCATTGTGCTGGGTCCTTCCTGGACACAGTGTGACAGGCAGTTTCTGCCTCTAAGGATCCGTCTATGCAGCCTGCAGCAGGTGAGTATCAAAGCCCAGGGTGACAGAGTGGGGCCAGGGCCGGCTCTGGCTTTTTTGCCGCCCCAGGCAAAAAAGCCTCCGGCCGCCCCCCCGCATGGGGGGGGAGGGCGGTGAGCCCCGGTGGGGGCTCCGCTCTCCCCCCGGCGGCTGAGGGGGAGGGCGGCCGGAGCCCCGGGGCGAGGGCGGCGAGCCCCGGCGGGGGCTCGGCTCTCCCCGCCGCGGCGGCCAGAGCGCTGGGGGCAGGGCTGCGAGCCCCGGCTGGGGCTCGGCTCTCCCCCCGGCGGCCCTGAGTGGGGCCCACAGAACAGCGTTAAAAATAGCTGTGTAGACACGTGGGTTGGGCCAGAGCTTGAGCCCTGAAGCCCACCCCCATCCTAGGCCCCAGAGCCTGAGCTCCAGCCCAAGCCTGAATGTCTCCCCAGCTCTTTTCAGCACCGGAGTGTGAGCCTGAATCTGTTAAACCTGGCTCTGAGACTTGCACCCGTGGGCTGCCGCTCGCTGTGTAGATGCACCCAAAGCGTTTACACCCTACATAGCCAAGGCAGACAAAGGAAGTGTCATTGTTCCCATTCTACAACAGGGGAAGTGAGGCACAAAGTCCCACAGTGAGTCTATGGCAGAGCAAGGAAAAGGAGCCAGTGCTCCTGAACTGCAGTTCAGTGCCGTAATTCCAAGGATAAGAGGATAAAAGCTTTTACAGCCCTTAAATGTGCAATATACTACCCGGGGGGGGAGGGGGGAGGTTCCTTCCTGACCCCAGCTGGTGATGCACATGTGACCTGAAGCATGAGTGCTGATGCAGCCCTTGCTATGCTTAAGTTGCCCGCTGTAACCCCAGGTGCTAGTATAAATGTCCCACCCTTCTGGGGCGGGTTTTAGAAGCGGAATTAGAGTCCGGCTTCGCACACATACCACGTCAATCAGCTGAGCGATGGACAGCCCAAATCTGACGATGACGACGTCGGAGATGTTGGGGACTGGCCGGGACCACCGGTTGTAGCTGGTGAACAGGTACTTGAAGAGGCGCTCCTCGGCGTGGCTGTGAGTCCGGTCCTGGATGGATACTGAACCAATGGGAGACAGAAAAAGCCATACGGACGCGCTAGTTTGCTTTCGGCCTGGGTCCTTCAGCACTTCCTCTAATGCAAATAGACTGTATGGGCCAAAGGTGCTAATATGAGCCTATCACTGTCCAGCCTTAAACAGTGTTAAACGAGGTTCAGGGTGTGGTATGCAGAGACCTCAGCCTGCTTAGCTCCAGGGCAAACACACCATTAAACATCCTTTAAACCTTGCATTCAAGAGACAGAAAAGAATCAAAACAGAGTTAAAGCCTTTGGAAGGTGAAGTATTAAATAAGGTTTTCATTTTAACCACATCCCGTGTCCCCTTTAGCTGGAGAGCGATTTTAGAAGGAATCCTTCCCCACCCCCCAGTCCAACAGTCTCTCAGCGGGTGTCCCCGATGGCAATAATGGTCCTGTTGGGGAACAGAGAAGAAGTTAGTTGAGGTTGGCTGGCGCAGCTGTTCTTGCTGGTGTTAAAGTCCAATCCGATTTCCTAGAAGGCAAAACAGGACGAACAGACCCGAGCTAGGAAAGAAAAGTGCAGCAACGATAGAAAATGCAGCTTTATAGACGCATCGATTCATAGACTCTAAGGCCGGAAGGGACCATCGCGATCATCTCGTCTGACCTCCTGCACCTCGCAGGCCACGGAACCTCACCCACCCACTCCTGTGACAGACCCACAACCTCTGGCTGAGTCGCTGACATCCTCAAATCCTGATTTAAAGTCTTCAAGTGACAGAGAATCCACCATTTGCACTAGTTCAAACCTGTAAGTGACCCAGGCCCCGTGCTGCAGAGGAAGGTGAAACCCCCCAGGGTCTCTGCCAATCTGGGGGAAAATTCCTTCCTGACCCCAAATATGGGGTGGGGATAGCTCAGTGGTTTGAGCATTAGCCTGTTAAACCCAGGGTTGTGAGTTCAATCCTTGAGGGGGCCACTTAGGGAGCTGGGGCAAAATCAGTACTTGGTCCTGCTAGTGAAGGCAGGGGGCTGGACTCGATGACCTTTCAGGCTCCCTTCCAGTTCTAGGAGATGGGATATCTCCATTCATTTAATTTATGGCGATCGGTTAGACGCTGGGCAAGACCCAGCACCAGACAGCTGGGAAAGAATTCTCTGTAGTAACTCAGAGCCCTCTCCATGTAGTGTCCCATCACCGCCCGATGACCCCTCTCGACTGTCCTGTTGAGTCTCACTTGCAGACTTACCGGGGGACTGTAGCACGGTGGACACCCGCTCCAGCCCTGAAGGGGTTGGAAAAGCCCTGCAGAGGGCTGGGGCTGAGTAAAGGAGCAAAACCCCGGCTGATTGGGGAAGTGGCTGCAGCTGGGGCCACACCAAAAACTGAGCCACTTAGCCTCATAAGAAGGCCAGGGCAGCCAGAAGCTGAGGAGTCTCCCTCTGACAGGAGAGAGAGACAGGCCTGGCTGCAGGGAGCTCACCGGGGACCTAGAGTGAGGCAGGGCTGGGGAAAGGCCTTGGGGGCTGGGAAGCCCTAGGCCAGCAACTCCCCAGGCTGCAGGGCCTGGTCCTAGGCCCAGATAGGTATTGGGGTTGCACAGGGGCAACCTGAGGGTGGGTAAAGGCAGCCAGTCCAAACCCCGTGTTGCTGGTGATGATTGGCTGATAGACTGCAGTCTGCCCCAGGGCGCGGGGACTAGATGGTGACTGGCAGTAGCCAAGACTGAGGTGACATTGGGATAGGGGGTGGGGGTTCCTCAGGGGGGCAGCACCTAAGCCAAGGGCACCGGGGTCCGGGAGGGACACGGGGGCCAAAGACAGGCGGGACACCTGGCCTGCAGAGGGCGCTCCGGATGCTGGGTGAGCTAATTCCCGAGACGTCCAGCAGGAGGCGCCGCAGGGGTGAGTCCACACCTGATTACAGGGACCAATGCAGAAGCACGTGGTTTTATCCACCACCCTGAGACCTGGCAAACTTGTCCCAGCATCAGGCTGGCCAGGGCCATAGGCACCGACTTCTGCTCCCGCCGGTGGGTGCTCAACCACCCTCTGCCCCTGGGCTGCCCCAACTCCGCACCTTCCATGAGGCCCCGCTCCACTCCCATTCCAACCCCTTCCCCAAAGTCTCCGCCCCCTCCTTGCCCCATTCCAACTCCTTCCCCAAAACCCGGCCCTGGCCCCGCCTCCTCCCCTGAGCGCGCCACGTTCCCGCTCCTCCCCCTCCCTCCAAGCATGCCGCCAAACAGCTGTTTGGCAACGGCAAGGCGGGAAGCGCTGGGAGGTAGATGGAGGAATGGGGACGCGGTGTGCTCAGGGGAGGAGGGGGAGGGGACCTTGGCTGCCGACCCAGCTCTACCAACACTGCATAAGTTAGCAAGTGACCACTTTAGCAATGACTATGAAATGCAGAGTCTCTGCTGTCGCTAACCCAGAAAGCACTGCGCTGCGGGTTTTAACAAGATGCTGTCAGATCAGATTTAGCCCCAAACGCAGAGCCTGAGTCACTGCTGTTTTGCACCGGGGTATTTGCACTGATTGTGATGGTGTTGCACCAGCATTAAACTGGAGTCACGGAGCAGCGAGTCTCATCCTCGGATTACAGTGTGCAAGGCCAGGAAAAGGCAGAAACTGTACACAAAGAACATCTGGCCAGTTCCCCTGCTGGTGTAGATCAGCGTCCCTCCATTGACCTTAAAGGGGCCAGTTCCCCTGCTGGTGTAGATCAGCATCCCTCCATTGACATCAAAAGGGCCAGATCCCCTGCTGGTGTAGATCAGCGTCCCTCCATTGACATCAAAGGGACCAGATCCCCTGCTGGTCTCAAAGTCAATGGGGCCAGATTTGCAGTGGGTCTAAATCCCCGTCCCTACATTTCTGTCAATGGCACGATGCCAGATGACACCAGCCAGGGATCGGGCCCAGCGGCATGACCCCGATTGAACCTGTGGTAAGCAGAGACGCAGGCCATGACTTAGAAACGGGTCTCACCATCGCGAGGGTCATTAAGCACAGGCAGGGAGGGATGTTTCTAACCATTCGGACCCCGGAGCGTTGCTTCCCCCCTGGACCGGTGGAAATGACCGGGTGCAGGGGAGTGGGCAATGGGACCCCGCAGCAGGAAGGGGTTTGTTGCGACTTCCAGCTGATGGAGCAGGAGTCCGTTAAAGCGCCGCTTCTCCGCTCCCTCCCCTGCCCCCTTCGAGTGTGACCTGCCAGCAGCCCGGCTAGACATGGCCACAGGGGGGGTTCAGTATCTACGCTCTGTCTGTCCTGGATCAGGTCTCGGCTCCAGAGTGCCAGGTGCTGTCACCGCCTGCTCCACCTGCGATTGCCAGCCCCGGCCGGGCTCTTTAAGGATCTGGGCCTCAGCGCCTTTCAGGATCAGGCCCGTTGGGGGCCTGCCTGGTTCGTGCTTATGGGCAGACAGGCGGGAGAGCCTGAGAAACGTAGAGGCTGCCGTGGGAAGGCAGGTTGCCAGCCGCGCTGCGGAGGAGGCTGGATTGATAGCTTCTGTCTGGGGCTTTTCTGAGGGCAGCCCGGCGGCAATCTCCCTTCCTTCTCCCCCACTCGCAGACGGGCTGGGAGGTTTGCCGCACTGCACTCAAACCAACCTCTGGCTGGGCTTTTAACAGCAAACAAGCAGGAGGCGAAATCTCTTCTCCCTGGGCTGGGAACGCCACCGGCTCTCCCGCCTGTCCGGCCAGCTGACCGCGATGTGCCCAGGTAGGCTCCCAGTGGCCCGGCAAGTTGGGAGGAATTCACTGACAACGGGCCTGATCCTGAAAGGCGCTGAGGCCTGGATCCTTAAAGGTATATAGCTGCCTAACTCTCCTTGAAATCAATCTAAAGAGGTCATGGAGCCAGCTGCACCTGTGCTTCCCTCAGCAATCCTCCCCAGGTAGGGAAAGTTACCACGGCCACCTGACAGGTAGGTCATGCAGCTAAATCTGTCCCAAGCCTGAGGGTAAAAGAGCCACCCCCCAGAGCGAGCAGCCAGCTGGGAGGGAAAGGACTGACTTAGGAGAGGCCTGCTCAGAGAAACGGCTCGAGGCCTGCAGCCAGCCTGAGCTATGGGCCCAGAAGAAAGGCTGTGACACTCCAGACCAAGGAGGGGAAACTGAGGTAAGTTACCGACACAGGTCCCAAGAAAGAGGGTGGTGGAGCTCCAGACACTTAAGGAGGAACAAGGTTGGGGACTTAGGGACCAAAGGGGATGTATTCTGATACCACTTAATAAATAGGGTCCCATAAGGGTGGGGGGCTCTTTATGTATTCTGGCCTGGGAGTGAATTATTGCAAGAACCCCAAGGCAGCTGAGGGTGGCGCGTCTGCAGAATGGCACTGTGCCCCTAGGGGTCGCCCCTGTGACCCCAACAATCTCCTGTAATATCCCCAACAAACTTGATGGACGGAAGGTAAACTTCATTGACTCCTGGGAAACCTGATTGAATGAGGGTTAAAATCTTCGGAGGCCGCTGTCTTAAACATGCAACTAGGGGTATGTTATGGTGGCCTCAAGGGAGGCCAATGTACTTCCTCTGGTACCAGCCCTTTGAAGCCCCTGGGAGAAGCTGTATCTAGACTGGATTCTCCAGGGCCCAGCGGCCAAAGAAAGTGTTTGTGGGTAAACAGCCTGCTTTAAAACTGGCTGAGGGGCTTCTTCCTGGGCCAGCAAATGGACAGGACCCCTGTCCTGAGGGAGGGTTCAGAGGACTGGGGGCTTGTCCTGAGGTGGAGCTGGGCTGAACGGGTAACCACACAGCTGTCCCTAAGATGGGGGGGTTGAAGGACCTGCCAGGGCCGTCGAGAGTGGGTTCGGGCCCAATGAGAATTTTTTCGGGCCCCCCAGCAAGGGCGGACCGACTAAACAGGGCTGACGAAGCCGGGCCCCCTTCCAGACCGCCGGACCCCGGTAATTTGTACCGGCTTTGTACCGATGGGGGGGGGGGCGCTCTTGTCGGCCCTGGGACCTGCCAGAATCCATGTACAGGATGGGGCAGGGACTCGGGGTGTGGGGGAATCTCCGGTGAGTTT